GGACTGAAGTGTGTCCTTCCTCAGAGAGAGAGGGGAGGGAAGAGAAGAGGAATGGCATAAATAAAAGCAATGATGAATGTCAGGCCTGAGTTCAAAGCCTTGCTCTACAACCAGGGGCAAGTTAGTCTCTCCCAGCCTCATTTTCTGCATTGTAAGATGAGGTGTGATTTATTTTCTAGCCCAGATTATTCTAGAGCCTAAGTAAGGTAATGCATATGAAAGTTCTAAATGTCATGTTTTTGATTGGCATTACTCTCTCCCTCAGTTGAGTCGTGGGGACAGCTTGAAGGAGCCAACCTCAATTGCAGAGAGCAGCCGCCATCCCAGCTACCGTTCAGAGCCCAGCTTGGAGCCAGAGAGCTTCCGCTCACCCACTTTTGGCAAAAGCTTTCACTTCGATCCACTCTCGAGTGGTTCACGCTCCTCCAGCCTCAAGTCAGCCCAAGGCACTGGATTTGAGCTGGGCCAGTTGCAATCCATCCGCTCGGAGGGGACAACCTCCACCTCTTACAAGAGCCTGGCCAACCAGACCCGCAATGGGAGCCTGTCCTACGACAGCCTGCTCACACCCTCAGACAGCCCTGACTTTGAGTCAGTGCAGGCAGGGCCTGAGCCGGAGCCACCCTTAGGCTACACCTCTCCCTTCTTGTCAGCCCGGCTGGCCCAGCAGCGGGAAGCCGACAGGCACCCACGGTTGGTGCCAACTGGCCCATCACACCGAGAGCCCTCACCTGTCCGGTACGACAATCTGTCACGCCACATTGTGGCCTCCCTCCAGGAACGAGAGAAGCTGTTGCGCCAGTCACCGCCACTCCAAGGCCGTGAGGAAGAACCAGGCGTGGGGGACTCCGGCATTCAGTCAACACCAGGCTCAGGCCATGCCCCTCGTACTAGTTCCTCTTCAGAGGATTCGAAGCGATCACCTTTGGGCAAGACTCCACTGGGCCGCCCAACTGCCCCCCGTTTCGGCAAGCCAGATGGGCTAAGGGCCCGGGGACTGGGTTCCCCTGAACCAGGCCCACATGCCCCATACCTGGGCCGATCTATATCTTACAGCAGCCAAAAAGTCCCACCTGGTGTCCCTGAGACGGAAGAAGTGGCCTTGCAGCCGTTACTGACACCCAAGTAAGTACTGGTACCATCCTGGCTTCCTGAGCACTCCAGCGTGGGTGGGCCTGCATTTTGATAGTTCTTTAGTGCCACTGTCTTGCTCCAGCTACCCTTGTGGGCTCTTCCAGTAATACATTGAGGATGAACACTTTCACTTTAATATTGCCTTCCTGAAAGTATAAGAGATAGCTGCTGTGAGATTTGTAAATGAGGGGGACCAGGAATTGGGTATGTTTTCAAGATGTAAGATTTTTTTTTTTTGTAATGTTTTGAGTCAGAACGCTTGTCTGTGACTCTCCCATTTCCTGATGCCGGTTTCTTCTTTTCTTCCTAGAGATGAAGTACAGCTCAAGACCGCCTATAGCAAATCCAATGGGCAGCCCAAGAGTATAGGCTCAGCTTCCCCTGGTCCAGGCCAGCCACCTCTCAGTAGCCCCACACGAGGAGGAGTCAAGAAAGTGTCAGGCGTGGGAGGCACCACCTATGAGATTTCAGTGTGAGCCCTCTGGCCCTCCCAGTGCCTCTGCGCCTGCCATCAGAGGGCTCCAGGTGGCCACCTTCCTTCCCTTAAGGGCTCCCCTCCCCTGCATGGACATTTCTAAACTACCGATCCCAAGAGGATGAAGAGCTTTTACAAAATGCAGTGGGGCTGGGGAAGTCTTGAGACTGGGGCAGCAGCCCCTTTCACCTTTTAAGGCCTGTCCTTCTTTAACCCCTGGACCAGACTCAGTGGACATTTGTGCAATTGCTCGCCCTGGAGGGAACCAGATCATTTTTAAATCAGAAATAATTTTTTTTATTATTGTTACGGATTCTATTTTTTCCTCTTCTGCGTTACCAGGTGTGTGTGTACATATATATATACATATATATATTATAAATATCAAAGAAATTCTATATCTATCCTGGGATGGGAAAATGAGGGAGGGATATGCATAAAGAGGGGTCTATTCCCACTTTTCAGACCAGCAGGAAAGGAGGGGAGACATGTCTTCCTTTTCCTCCCACAATTCCCTCTTAACTAAAGAAATGGCACCCCCTGCTGTTGGTGCTAAGTGATCAGGAATGAAGCCCATGAGGTGAGCCTGCCTGGGGACTTGGGAGAAGAAAGGTAGTTTTCTAGGCTCATTGGCACTTAGTTTCTCCAGGTAAAAGGGTCACAGCCCATGATGATGGTGGGGGAAGATCATGAAGAGGTTGACCTAGCTCAAGAAACAATCCTGAATTATTCCCCCTTCTCGGGAGGAAAAGGTTTAGGGTGGATTTCTAACTAGCCCCTCAAAGCCCCCCCCCCCCCAACTCAGTTATATTCTTTTAAAATCCAGTTTGGGAAAGAATCCAAAAAGCAATATTTTTCATCACATGCCAAAAACGGGATAGAGAGGAGTGGCAGGCCTAGGCCCCTCCGATTGTCGTCTTTGGGGGTGACCCTTCGCCCACCTTAGTATGGTGCTGGATAGAGGGGATACCTGGGTTCTAACCTCAACAAGGGGAGACCCCAGCCTCTAGACAGAGGCCCTTTTATTTTTTATTCTGACTAGCCATTTTAAACCAACAAGGAATAAAAAGAAATCCTGATCTAACCAGCTCCCCCTGACTTGTGTTGTTTTGTCTGGTTCAGGCAGGGTGACTGACCACTGGTGGGAAGTCACCAGGTAAGCACACAAGCTCCTCTGGTCCCTGCTCAGCTCCAGGCAGGACTGTTGTGAAACGAGCCACCTGAAACAACAGGCCCTGCTCTTAATTTAGATGATTCCATTCAGAAGTGCCTGAAAAAATCTTTCAACCACCTGCCCTTCTTGTCACCCCCAAGCTTATGTAACTTGATTTGTGCCACAATTACTCCTTAAGAAGAATCCTTTTTGTCTTTACAAAGTAAACCAAACACACTGCCGTTGAGTCGATTCCAATTCATGGCAAACCTATAGGAGAGGGTAGAACTGCCTCTCTGGGTTTCCCAGACTGGAATTCTTTATGGGAGTAGAAAGCCCACTGCAAAACCACTACACCATCAGGGATCCCCTACCAGGTCATCTTTATGTAGCCAAAAGTGAGGGAGTGGCAAGCCTATTTAAAAGCTGGTGTGGCATTGCAGTTGGATTTCCTACTTAAAGAAAGAGGCCATGCAAACCCAGAGACCTACCAGAACCCAGTGGTTTTTTTTCACTCTTTAATGGAACATCTTGCAATGACAGTCTATGAGCCTATGGATCTAGAAAGGCCCCTTGGCTCAGTAGGTCTTGCGTCATAGTTGAAGCCACGTGATAGCAATTCATTTTCTCAGAAGTTTTCAGTGAACTAAAAAGTAAATCAAACTCAATGCCATTGAGTTGCTTCTGACCCATAGTAACCCTATGAGGCAGGGTAGAACTGCCCCAATTGGGTTTGCAAGGCTGTACATCTTTGTACAGGAGCAGAAAGCCTCATCTTCCTTGTTCAAAAAGCTGATCTTGTGGTTAACAGCTAAATTCATAAGCCACTGAGGCCCCTTCAGCTAACTAGTCTACTGCAAAACCTAAAGGGATTACTATCTTACATTTTTTTGGTTTAGGCCGCTTGTCTTAGAAGTTTTTCACATCAGCCAGGCCATTTCATGGTCTTCACTAAGGGAGGAGGCTGGTCAGACTTCAGATTCCTACCCATTGATCACTGGTTTCAGATTTGAGAACCAACCTTGCTGAAGTGTACAGGCCATTGTTTCAGCACTAGATGGGCTCAAAACACGGCTGCACCTGTTGGATCCCAGGTGCTTGGTCCTTGGGTGAAGCTGAGCTCTATCCACATCATGATCTTCTCTGCTGTGCAGAACGTATCAGCCAGCCCCTCCTCATCCTGGAGGAATTACGTTTGGACCATGTTCCCAATCTGCTGCTTTCCTTGCCTGCTGATGACGACCAAATCCCTTCAGAACTTAATGCCTGGGTTGAAAGGCAGATCCTTATAGAAAGGTATTTTTAATAAGCAGCCACACTCAGCCAGTTTGGTAAATACTTTTCACCTCCAAGAAAAACCTTTTTAACAAACCAGAGCAAACCCTAGATTCCATAAACTGTACAAAAGAGATGGAATGAAAGTTTCCTGGGAGAGGAAGAGTTGTCCACAAGAGAGCCAGGCGCCAGGCGAGCCTCATAAAAGCATGTCCCTTTTCTAGTACGTGAAGTTCTGCTGAGCCCAGCAGGGACTGGCCTTGGCCTCAGCCAAGTGGGGATGCTCTCAGGTGGTGGCAGCTTCTGGCAGCAGGTTCAGTACAGCAGGAAATGCCTCTTGGCAGAGTCCAGCAGTCCTATTAGCGGAGGCTGCTGCTGCTGCTGGCCTGGGAACTGCCCATACCTGGGTGGTCTGGACTGTGTCGATTCTGGGAAAGAAGGAAAAGAAAGGGTAAGAGAACACCTGGGATCTAGGGGTCTTGACCAGGGCTTTAGGGGAAGGGGGTGAAGGAACCCTGCAAACTATCCTGGGTTTTCTATCCCCGTTCCACCCTGAGGTAGAGGTCCTGAACCCTACTTAATATGGAGGGGAGAGAACTTCTTTAAGCTGTAGTAATGAACTCCTACCTTCTTTTTCTTCTTTTCTTTCTTTTTTCTTTTCCGTTCAGGATCCTCCTCTTTTTTCTTTTTCTTCTTTTTGTGATCTGAATCAGATGGGGTTTCTGTAGGAGACATTAGGTGCCCATCATGTGGAGAGCTCAAAATCCACTACTGCTACATAGTCTCAAGACTACATGCAACCCTAAGTCATGGGCAAGTGCTTTTCTCCAACTAGCCAGAAAGGATACAGAGATGCAGGTAAAGGCCCTGTCACAAACTTCTACTTGCCTAAGGACCCTGTACCTCAGTGTTTTGTTGAAGAGAATCTCAGAGCCCAGGGATCTGTGAGGAACTCAACTGCTGTTAGCTATGGAATTTTGACCCAAATTCCAGGTCAGGCTGACTGGCTATGAATGGAAGCACTTCTTACCTGGGGGGACAGGATCCTGGGTTCGGCTCTGTTTGTGTTTGTGCTTATTCTTCTTCTTGGGAGGTTGAATGTGCATCAGACGACACTGTTCTGGCAACTGAAGGAAACAAAAGGAAGATCCACATGAGTTGAGGGAGGAAATCCCCTACATCCATCATCTATTCTGCTCAGGAAGTTACGAAGGAACAGACATAGGAAACAGACGCAGAATGGGAAGCCTAACACCTTTATTCCTTGTAAGCTTCCCCATTTGCCTTCATCTTCCCCAAGAGTGGACTTACCGGGCCAGTATGGAGACGAAAGCCAGCCAGCATGGTCCCTGTGATGGGATTAAAAGAGCCACCAAGAATCGGGGGCTTTTCAATGAGGGAGCGGAGGCTGCTGTTATCGTGGGAACCAGGCAGATCAATCATTCCTGGCAGGTCAGGCAGGAAGTTACTGAGCTTCTCCTTCACCTTCTTTCCACAGAATTTATTATAGGCGTGTTCCAGGTTGTAGTGTGTAATCAAATTGGTGCTACCTGTTAGCTCAGTGTTTCCTAAAGGACACAGGGAGAATAATAGCACAATGATTAGTTCCTGAATAGCGAATTAAAAATTTTAAGTCACTGATCCAAAGTGAAGGACTATTTTTAAAGTACATAAGGGCTGTTTTAAGTGAAACTTAGAAGCTTAAAAATTTATTTTTAAAGTAAAAAAACCTAGAGCAACAATAAATACTAACTGATGTAACAAACTACTAAAACCCTGTAAAGCCTATTAAAAACTCAAGGCACTTACAATGGCTCATAATGACAGAGGAGAGCTACTTTGCAGCTGAAATCAGTGCATTCATATTGCTGCTACCATGTCATGTTAGGGATGTTTTGGTGAATGGGTGTGTTTCAATACATTTTTTATGCATGTAAAAGCATATGATAGATTATATATTAAGACATACATATGACATTAGATATAAACCGTACTTAACTGTTCTGACTCACCTACAAATTTGACTCAAAAATAAGCTTAGAAATGGAACTTATTTGTAACCTGGGCACTGCCTGTAGTACAAACTACAGAATGGTAGGCTGGCATGGGAAGGACAGAAAACAGGCAGGAATCCAAACAGGGCATTGTAGCAAAGTACTGTAACCCAAGGAAAAGGCTCCATTCTACCTGGCCTTCACCAGACTGAGTTAACTCTTAGGTGGTGCCTCATTGCCCTCAGTGGCACCGAGTGGATGCCGACTCCTCGTAGCAACGCTAGAGGGCAGAGTAGATCTGCCCCTTTGAGTTTCTGAGGCTGTAACTCTTACCCCGGTGTTTACTGTAAACACACCGGGAAACCCAAAAACGACCCCTTATTGTGGTCATTGGGAACGGAGCTTGAAGTACAGAGTGAAGATGAACATGGAGGGTACAAATGACACAGTGGGTTGGTTCATCATCACTGACTTGGGGAAGGAAACTCATGCTGCTGACTGAGCCACTTGACGGAGAGACAGTGTCACGATCGTGCTCTTGCTGCTGGTTACCAGCAGAACACACACTGTTGTTCGGGCCTGGAGTTGGGCCCTGACTCCTGGCAACCCCACATATTGGAGTAGATCTGCTCCACTGAGGCTTCATGGCTGTAATGGGGTTGAGCTGCTAAACCACAAGGCCAGGAGTTCACATTTACCAGTTGCTCTGTGGGAGAAAGCTGAGTCTTTCTACTCCTGTAAAGATCTAGTTTTGGAAACCCAAAGGGGCAGCTCTACCCTACCCTATAGAGGGGGTCAGAACTGACTTGATGGCAGCAGGTGAGTTTCGATCTTTACAGAAGCAGATGCCAGGCTTTTTTTCTTCCATGTAACTGCTTGGTGGGATTACTGACATCCTTTAGGTTGGCAGTCAATTGCACACAAGGTGCTTAACTGGTATCTACTAGGCCTTCCTTCATAGCCAAACTTCTTAGATGAGTGGGCAGAGGCAGGAGACACAGTGACACAGAACCTGTTTACATAGCTCTTTGGGTGCCACCTCCTGCCATTATAATATCCTCATCACCCTCACCTTCCACCAGTTCTCTTTCCAAGTGGTTATATTTAATACACAGGCAAGAAGACACTTTGTGCTTTAAAAACAAAAACTCTCTTTAACCTGTGTGTTCACTCAATTTCCTGCTGACTTTTTAAAAAAAATCATTTTATTAGGGGCTCATACAACTCTTATCACAATCGAT